TGCCACATTTTAGAAACCACGGGGCTGTCTCTCTGCCCAGGAGCAACAGCCTGGCGAAGGGTTGGCCCCTGCAAGATAGCTCAGGATGGAGAGAGAGACACTTAGATTCTTCCGTCCGACTTCACTTTAGAATGTTTGGAGATCCGTGGTCTGTGTGGGGATGTGTGTCGATGGTCTAAATGATGTATATTTCCCCGACTTGTCTGTCTGTCCGTGCATATGCCAAAGTATATATTAGAATCTTCAAGGGGCCAAACAACAGTTCTTGGGGGGGGGTTCTCCCTCTTCCCCACCTCCATTTCTCTCTCTCCTGAAATCTAGAAGAAATAATGAGGACAGTTGAACGTTAGATCCCGGGGTGCAAAGAGCTGATGTCGTCCCACCAGGCTGTTCTCCTCCCCGAGGGCCTGTTTACCATCTCACTAACCCTAGACTCTCCCGCACCCCTTCACCCCAGCCCTTTAAGATGCTCGTTTGTGATTTAGAGTACAGTATTTGCATTTTTTTAAAAGGAAAAAAAAAGTGTGTACTGAACGGGACGACTTTTGGAACAGACCAAATTTAGCAGTTCAATAAAGTGTTTTCTTTTTTTTTTCCCCCCTCTTTCCTTTTTTATATACGTGTAGCAAATAGCTTTCCCTTTCCTGGGGTCTGGGTGAAGCTGCAAAAAATTATTCTGGAAGTGCGGGGTATGTGTGTGTGTTGAGTTTATTTTTTGGGGGGGCACTGGTCAAGACAGACTCTTCTATATAGCAATAATGAGATCAGCAGAAAAGTGGCTGCTTAAAAAAAAAGAGTTCTTTTGAGGGCTTAACCCATCAGGGCAGGAAAAACAGGAAGAGAAGCAACAAATTCTTTTGAAGCTTTGGGAATCTGCAGTATAATTTAAGAAATGCAGGGTTGTTGTGTTTTTTTTAAAAAGTGGTGCTGTATTTCTTTTATTGCCTCTTCAACAAGGAGTGAGGCAAAATGTAAGATGCTTTCTTTCCATCCTCAAAAAACAGAAAAAGTGGATTAAAGGCCTAGGAGCGTACGGTAGCCCCGAAAGTGCAAAGATGAGGGTAAAATGACCGACAGCTTCTTTCTTGTGAGGACGGTTATGTAAATGTTTCCAGGATTAGCAGTGGTGTGACGATGAGTACCAGTTTTTTTTGGGGGGGGGTGGTAAACGAAGAGGAGGCTGCCCTGACCCTTCGTGTATCTGCTGAGTCTTTCTCTGTGTGTTGCTTACGGACCTCTCCGTGGGGGGGGGGACTGGTGGGCCACTGGAGGACCGTCACGATGGACTCATCCAGGAGGTGTCGGGTCAGAGCGATCCCGATCCTCTTGTGTTGTTCAGAGTGGTTTCAGCCCGTTTGTCTCGGGGGGGGGCGCTGGCATTCGTTGTGTGCCCACGCTTCAGGAAAGCAGCATGGGTACTGAAGCTGATTCGTGGAAGGAGTGTGTGTGTGTGTGTGTGTGTGTGTGTGAGAGAGAATGAACTCTTCCCAATTCCTTTGTTACACCCCTGTCGCTGCCTTGGCATAAGAATTATCTTGGGAATGATGTACAGAAAACAGAGCTGCCACTTCTGAGAAGCGTCTTTGGGGCTGGGTGTACCAGTGATGTGTGTGTGTGGGGGAGAAAGCAGCTTTCTTGTGGGTGGCTGCAGCCCATCTCTACAGTCAGAACTCAGAAAGCGTTGTGGTTTGGACTACAACTCCCAGAAGGGGGAAAAAAAACACCCTCCCCATGTCACTGGGAGAATGGTGGACGTTGTAGTCCAAACGGCTTAGCTTCCCTGGGAGAATGGTGGATGTTGGTCCAAACGGCTTAGCTTCCCTGGGAGAATGGTGGACGTTGGTCCAAACGGCTTAGCTTCCAAAGCTCTGGCACAGAGCCGCTTAAACCCAGCTGGGAAACTGTTGTGGCTGTAAAATGTGGCTTTTTAGGGGGCGGACTGGTTAGAGAAATTAATTGAGAGTTCTGGCTACTCTTTCTGATGGCTTCATGGAACCTGCAGATTCAGGAGCAGTGTACCTCTGAATACTAGTTGTTAGAGGGGAACCACCATTGGATAAAGCTTTTGTCGTTCTTGTGGAACGTTCCCACAAAGCATCTTAATTGCATTTTTTCCTGGTCTTCAGTAAATTTAAACTATAGGAATGCATGTTGGAGTAGCCCAGGGGCAGACTCTTTCCTGCCATTGGACTAAGCTGCTGTGATGTCACAGCAGGACCATAAGTATCGTGTGCCCCCGAAAATAAGACAGAGTCTTATATTAATTTTTGCTCCATAAAACGCAGTAGGGCTCATTTTCAGGGGATGTTTTATCTTTTTCATGTACAACAATCTACATTCATTCAAAGACAGTCATATCATCTTCTGGTTGCTGCACAGTGGTGGAAGGTGGGCTTTTACTAACTAGGACTTATTTTGGGGGTAGGGCTTATATTATGTGCATCCTGAAAAATCATAGTAAGGCTTATTTTCAGGTTAGGGCTTATTTTTGGGGAAACTGGGTATTCTAATTGCTCAGGCACCTCATAGGATGTTCTCTTTTTTGCAGTGTGGGTGTGCATGTGTAAGTGGAGATTTCGGTTTGGTTGGGGGTAGAGAACCTTACCTAAGACCCTGAGGGAGTCCAGAAATGGTTGGGTGTCAGTGTTGGGGAGCTGGCCAAAGAAGTGGGTACATTTGGGAAATGAGGCTCAAATGGGTCGCCCTTAGCAGCTAGCAGGATTCCCCCGAGCATTCTGCCTTGTCCATTGGGTGAGAAATCACGATGTTCGACACGATTGTTGATTAGTCACTTTAGGTCTTGTTCAAGGGCATTTTGACATTCATGTGCTTTTTGTTTGCTGTGAAACACCCCTTTCGAGCCTCTTTCATATCCCCCTCTCAATGCATCAACCTTCTCCGATGTTGGGCCAGGTTGGGCTTGGTTAGTCCTTGGAGGGGAGTCTCCCCAGGAAGACCCACGACCTTTAGGAAGGGCAAGGAGACAGTCCTACTTCTATGAAACCCTGGAGAAGCGCGGCTGCTGGTTAGAGTTGGCAGTATTGGGGTCAACCCATACAGCCTCGTCGGGAACCCAAGCCATACCTATTGTCTCTTCTTTTTTCAATACAACAGGCTTCAGCCGCCTTATTGGGACATGGGCAAAGGAGCTGCAGTGGGAAAATCAACACAACAGAACTCTTTAGACCGAGTTCAAGATATCTCTGGGCCCAAATCCCATCCTCCTTGGCTCGCCAGCTTGGTTTCCCCAGGCAGCTACGTACTCCGACTTCTCCACTAACATTGCTGTTGGACATGCTTGCAGCTTTCGTCCCTGGGTTTTCCCGTTCCAAAATGTCCAAGCGCCTCCTTCCTTGAATGATAGGTTTCATTATTATTAGCAGGAAAGGTTCGTTCTGAGCAGTAAGAGCTTTAATCGAAAACCTTATTGGCTTTTTTTTTGGGGGGGGAGGCAAAATGCAAATTTTTTGAACAAACTTATGCCTCTTAGTTTTGTATTATTGCATGTTGTGTTGTTTACGATGCGGCATAAGATTGGGTTGGCTGGTCGTGAGGGGATGGAAACGGAATCCGAGGAGTCCTCGGCATTAGGTTTTAGACCAGGTGCTGGGAGACCAAGCATGAGAAAGTCAAGGCAGGGGCGGATCAGGTCCCGAACGGATGCGGTGCCTTCGGGATACTAAAGAGATGGCAAATAGCTTTGAATTCCCAGCTGATGGCTCCTGTTAATAAAATGTTGCTCTGGCTGGTGGCTTTAGGATGGAAAGAATAAAGTTTTTAAATAAATGAAAACAAACCATCGCCTCGTTCTCTGAAGGAATAGGCAGATATCTTTTGCACCTGCGAGAGGCATCCTGAGAGTTTGACAGAAACCAGGATAGGAAAAGAATTATTGGGCATTTATTATTATTATTACCGTATTTTTCGCACCATAAGACGCACTTTTTAACCACAAAACAGGGGGGTGGAAAGTCTGTGCGTCTTATGGAGCGAAGAAAACAGATTATATTTTCCTGTTTTCGTCTCCTAAAAAATTGGTGCGTCTTATGGTATATGACAACACAATGAGAAGAGGCACCAGGCTATTTAACTGTCTGTAACTAAAACCTTTCAGCAGTTCAGGTCCCCTGCAGGAAAGAGGAAAAAAGCCTGCAGCTTTCCTATTTCTGCCCCCTTCTTTGACCTTTTTGTTTCCTTTGTTCCTTTCTTTTCTATAGTCTGTCTCCTTCTGGCCGGAGAGAGGAGGAGCTGGGATCAGGATCAGGATATCCGAAATAACTTTTGGGACCAAGGAAGGCCAACATTTCCAAAATGTGAATCTCCTTAGGCTGTTGGCAGGACGCTAAACACAGCTGGGGAGAAAGCTGTACAAATAAACTTGGTGGGTATATTTATAGTGCCAGTAATTTCTCTCTCTCTTTTTTTCCCCTCCTCTGTGTGGAACCTTTTGAACCTTTGGAGAAGAGCCGTGTGCTTTGATCTTTCCACTCTGCCTCTCAGGGCCCGGTTGCTGGGAAATCGGGCGAAGACTTCATTGTACTAAATGTGTCTCCCCTTTTTTTGCTCCCTCTCGCCACCGCTGTGAAATGGACCAGATTTAGCAGAGAAGCCTGGCTGTCCAGCTTTGCTAGGAATCTGAGTCTCCCAGACCCGGAAAACCTCTGGCTAGTTGTAGTTCCCCCCAAGATTTAGCTGGTGTTATGGGCTTTGCAGTGGAAAACAGGAGGGCCTGGCGTGCTCTGGTCCTGGGGGTCACGAAGAGTCGGACACGACACGACTTAATAACGACAACAACATGGGCTTTGCATCACACACACACCCCCAAGGTCCCGCCTGGTTCCAGGAGAGACGCTCTTAGGACAGGAGACCACCAGGAGATGCCATGAAATGTTAGGCTAGGTGGGAACCGAAGACAAGAGAGTTTCCACTTCCTGCTGCTGAAGTATTAAAGACATCCTGCATTGGTAGTAAAGTGCCAGGCGGCCAGAGAGGGAGAAGAACGACTCGTTCAGTGTCCGAACCAAGTGGGGTGCAGGATGTATTCTGGAGCTTGGAGTCAGTGCTGTTGCCGATGAGGAATGGGAAACTGGGAAGGAATGGTTGGCAACAGAGAGGCAGCAGAAAAGGTGGCCCACTAGCTCTCAATGTTTCTGTGCCGCACGTGGGACAGGCTTTCTTGTGGGTGGAGTGGCAAGGCTTCTTTGGCGCCAAACCCCACCACCAGCCAACCCATCTGCCTTACCGGGGCTGCGTCTGCAGAGCCGAGGCACCCAACCCTGTGCCCTAAAGGCTGGTCCTGGGTTTCTGTCATTCCGGCAGAGGGATTATCATTATTGTTACTGCTGTTTGGTATACAAAGATTATCCTTAACATCTCTTTTCTAGCTCTAACTTTGAGATGGAAATTCAGCTTTTCAGAGGTCTCTTTAAAATAAAACATTCCTTCCGTCCTTCCTTCCTTCCTTCTCTCTCTCTCTTTCCTTCCTCCCTTCCTTCCTTCCTTCTCTCTCTCTCTTTCCTTCCTCCCTTCCTTCCTTCCTTCTCTCTCTCTCTTTCCTTCCTCCCTTCCTTCCTTCCTTCTCTCTCTCTCTTTCCTTCCTCCCTTCCTTCCTTCCTTCTCTCTCTCTCTTTCCTTCCTCCCTTCCTTCCTTCCTTCTCTCTCTCTCTTTCCTTCCTCCCTTCCTTCCTTCCTTCTCTCTCTCTCTTTCCTTCCTCCCTTCCTTCCTTCCTTCTCTCTCTCTTTTTCCTTCCTTCCTCTCCCACTTTTCTCCTTTTTTCATTCCCTCTCTTACATTTAGAGAGAGAGGTTTAGCTGCCACATGCCTGGTTTTGAGAGAGAGAGAGAGACAAAGAGAGAGAGGTTTAGCTGCCACATGCCTGGCATGTCAACAGTGACATGACTTTTTTTGGGGTGTGTGTGTGATCCACCCATGATGTAGGTCAACTTTGATTTTTATTTATTTATTTTTCAAACTTTCCTTTCAACCGTGGCCTCTTCATGGTTTTTTTTTCCCTGTGGGAACCTTGAGCCCTAAAAGGAAACCAGCGCAGCTGAAGGGGCCGGTGACCACTCCGGGATTGACTCTTATTTTTAGAATTGGGTTTATTGCCATATTTGGTATCAAAACGATGTCCTGCTGGAGTTTTATTGTCTTAGATAGCAGCTGGGAGGGCTGGCCGTTTTCACCTGGTTGCTGAATCGGACGTGGGGTTCAAGGTGTTGAGACGAACCTGGGGGAAGAAAGATGATGGATCGTAAAGATTTTCAGCAATGGTGCCCAGTCTACTCCAGTGTAGGCCTGCTGAAAATTTCCATATATAATTTCTAACGATGGGCTGGAACGTAGGGATTTTGCTGGGCAGATTGAACCGGGGAGACACACATTCAAGAAATAATAATACGGTTGATTTATCCTCTTGGTTCGCTTTCACAGTATCCCGAGAGGATAAGAGTTAATCAAGAGAAAACCATAGCAACCTCTTAATAAAATATCTCGCAGAACCCAAGAGCAGAACCACCCCTCAGATTCCTGCCACTTTGGACCGATGACCGAGGGTAGCCTCGAGAGGGGAAAATACTCCCTAGTGGGTCCTGTTGTTGACGCTGGTGTTTTTCATTTCCGTACGAGAGGCGCTTGTAAACGTTTCCCTTTTCAAAAAGGGGTGTCCTCTCCTAGGGCTATATTCTTGCCCCTCCCTTTCCACTGAAATGCTGAAGATGGCAAGCTTGTTAAGCCAGAGAGCCGTTAAAAAAAAATCCCAACCATAAATCAATAAAAAAAACAAGTGTTTAGTCTGTATTTTAAGTCTCTGTTGAGGGCGGGGAGCCGGGGAGTCTCACAGGTGAGCCCATAGGTAGTGTACCCAGGTGAATAACCCCCACAGTTCAGGGGTAGGACATGTTTGTGATGCAGGGGAAAAAAAGTCTTTCTGAGAATTGAAAAAAAAAACACCTGATGGAGCCTATAGGAGAGCAAGAAGAGACCTTGTGTTCTTATTGTGACCCATCATCCACCTCTCAGATCAGCAAGACTTTGATGCAAGTGCTTCCGCCCCCGCACACACATAGGTGTTCCTTAGCATCGTGCCTTGAGAGGTTGAAATTCCTGTGATATGTGAGGCTTCGGAGAGCCATTCATAGCGTCTTCCTAACTGGGCACCTGCTGCCCTGTCTTGTGGCAGGGAGTCCCGCCGGTTGTTAACCGGTTGCTGTGCGAATGAAGACTCCATTTAATTCATCCGGCATCTCTTGCCCTTCGGCTTTCAGGGGTCCCATCCGGTTGAAGAGGAAATGAACTTGAATGACTTTTCTCCATCACATACCATTTTATGTATGGTTGTCATGTTATCACTCCTTCCCTTAGCAATGTTTTTTTTTCTCTCTCTCTACTACAACTTGCAAAGTGAAGGCTCCAGCTACAGGGATCCTGGGTGTTATAGAGCCCCAGAAATTAACTCCAGATCCTTTCCTGCCTCACCTTGAACCAAGCTCACTCCAGGCACTACGAATCAGGCCCGGTCCTTTCCTTTTCAGGGGGTGATCAAGCCAGCTCTCTCCTAGCCGGCTTCTCTCTGGCTTTTTTCCCCCCTTTCTTTCCTTCCTGCTATTTGTCCACCCCACACAGATCGCCCAGGGCGGGTCCTGGTCAGGGTTTCCTTTCTCCTTTGCTTCCCGGCTCTGACCCGCCCCCGTCCCTGCACACGCGCCAGAGGTCTGAGAAGCAGCCCGGCTGGCCGATTCTCACAACAAGGTACAAAAATAGGGTCTGGTGCACAATAGCCGGGCTGTGTTCCTTTTTATTATTTTATTTTGTTTTCTGCCACTGGTGTGTGTGTGTGTGTGTGTATGTGTGTTCTCCTACCCCTGGCAAGTTTGTTTTCGGCCTTTTCCAGCCCAGTGGGTTAGTGAGTATGGAGCTGAGAAGGCTTCCGTTTGGGTGACTCCAAGACCCATCATTCCCCAGCGGAGCTTGTGAGCTTGAAGGATCAGGATCGGGGGGTGCCTTTTGAAGCCACCAGGCCCAGGAGTTTAGAGTGCAAAAAAAGAGAAGAAAAAATAGCCCCATTATACGTGGAGAGGTTCATTTTGCAGCCAAAGTGGACCTTTTTGGATGGCCAGTTAACAAACTGCAGCCCAGGTTTAGGGGGCTAATTCAAGCCAGCCGTCAGAAGACCGGCCACTTTTTTCCCATGTTGAATTGGGTGCCACCAGCGGGGTTTTGTCTGTAGTTGCAGCGTGGTGAGGATGCAGGGGAAGGTTTTCCACTGTTTTCAGATCTCCCTGAAAGCAAGAGCATTATAACCACGCGGTCACATGCGTAAACCTTCCTCCAGTCTTCTGTGCATAGAGTGTGTCTCGCACCCACCACCTTGCCTTACAAACACCTCCACAAGTCACCTTTTTTTAAAAAAAAGTGGGACTAAGTAAGCCGGGGTATTTCAAAATGTCGGGCTTTCTCTCCCCCCATGAAATCCGAGGGTCAGGTGGTAAGAGTTGTATTTTTCGGGGACGAACCAGCAAACCTGCAGAGAATTTTCTGCCAAATCCTGTTGGCTTCCTTCTGGTCATTTTTCATCCTGCTGACGTGAACACGCCTGATCCCGACCCAATTTCAGAAGCCAAGGAAGGGCTGGCTAGTCCTTGGGCAGGTGGGGAAGCCACTCGGGAGCACCTGGGGGCTCCCCGGGCAGGCCTGGGCAAGGGTCCCGCCTGGGTTTGGCCATCAAGGGCTAGGGGGGAGCGAGGTTCTTCTCGACACCAGACCAAGACAAGCCTCCTTGATGGGCGGGGGATGTAGGTGACGAGCGGGTCCTTCTGCAGAGCACAGGGCCGCCTGCCTCCCCACCTGCCGTAGGAATACACAGACCATAACTCAGTGGGAAAAACTCCCTGTTTGACAAGGAACAGGCCCAGGTTCTGCGTTTCGTCTCTCCCACTCGGAGCATCCGTGGCCTCGAGAGGCACCGCTAGTCTGAGCAAGCAAGATCCGGCTAGATCAGAACTCAGTACGGTTGCTTTTTCGGACTACAACTCCCATCAGGTCCAGCTGAGGCCTGCAACACCTGTAGGGAACCGCTGTGTCCTACACCACATGCACAGACTTGTTTGTCCTGCCCCCCACCTGGGCTCCTTAACATTTGGTAAGGCAGGGGCTGTGCTCCATTTGCAGTCACAAGGGCTAGGAACTTGATTTGAATAAAAAGGCTGGATCTGAGCCGTGCGCCGAGTCGTGAATCTCACAGCTCCGGGATCTTGTCTTGACCGTGTGGAGTACACCCAGACAACACAGAGAGACAGACTGCCAGGCCAGTCTCATGTGGCGGGGAGTTCCACAGCCCTGGAGCAGCCACTGAGAAGACCCTCGTGTGAGGATGTCCTTGTAATTTTGTGTTCCCAGGGCACAGTTGGCTGCCCACCTGCTTGCTTTCTCTCACACCCCTGCCACCTCTCCTCTTCCCCCCACTTTGCAGGAATCGCCCCAGGACAGCGCCATCACCCGGGACATCAACCGGACCTTCCCTGCACACGATTACTTCAAGGACACAGGGGGAGATGGGCAAGACTCACTTTATAAGATATGCAAGGTATCGGGTGCCCTGCTTTCTCAGGCTTCGTTGGAGAGGGGGGCTGGGTGTTCTTTCTTTGCAGAAATAGCTTAGGAATGGTTTCAGAGCATGTGGGAAAGGGACAACAAGTCCCACCGTCCCCTGGTCAGCTAGCCTTCCCCTAAAAGGGGAGTTCTGCAAGTGTTTGGGGGGTGGCAGGGTGCCCAGCTGACCTTCCCTCGGGGCTAGGTGCTCTTTTCATGAGCAGGGAAATCTGGTATTACAACACACACACACACACCCCTGGGCTATGAAATAGGCCCTTCCCACGTCAGTTCAGCTGCACTGGTGGGATCAGCAGGACCGATCCATTCCACAGGTGGGGTGGGTGGCTGCTTGTCCTTGCCTGAAAATTCTGGCGCTGCCCCCCCCCCCCCCCCCCCTGAATGTTTTTCCATCTGTGCGCTGGAGGTCAGCCCCGTGCCTGCTGAATCCTCTAACACTCCACTTTTTCTTACTGTGTCTGTGCAACGGTGTGGAGGCTGAGCAGAGCACACCGCTTCAAATGTAAGGGGATAGGAAAATCTCTGCCCATCCGGATGCGCTTTGGACTTCATCTCCCAGAATACCTCAGCCGGGATTGCAAACGGCAAGGGATCATGGGAGCTGCGGTCCAGCCACCTCCGCTAGCCAAACGGCCCCCTTCCTTGGACAAGCGGACACCGAAGGGAAAGAACTTCAGCTAAGACAAAGCTTTGACCACCTTTCTTTTGGGGCAGTGACCGAACCCGTTGGGCTTCAAGGCCCCCCCCCATGGAGAGCGACCCCTTGATCCCATGGGGCTCCTCACACCTGAAAGGGAGCTGGTTTCTCCCCTGCAGCGCAGAGGAAGGGGGATCTCCTGCTCTGCCTTTGTGTCTCCGGCAGCAGCGCACTCCAGCTAATTAATCGGCTCCTCATTTGCATTATAAGGCAAACACAGCCACATGTGAGGCGCTCATTAAAATGTGGGAGGCAATTAGCAAGGGAAGAGAGAGAGAGAGAAAAGGCTGTGTTCCCTTTTGATCCTCTCACCTTATTCAACCAGAGGGATCCGCCACTTTGAATTCTGCTTTTAGAAATAAATAAAACGGGCCCTCTTCCAGAGACCATTCAGTGTGGGGAGGAGAAGCTTGGCTTCCTGGCCCCCTCCGACACGACAAGCTGAAACTCACGGTTAAAAAAAGGACCCACTCCTCCACATGGGCTGGTCGGCCAAGGACTGTAGGACGCAGGGTGCTTCCCTGCCTAATAATTATTATTGCCATCAGAGACTTCACTGCCTTCCTTGAAAGCTTTCGTTGGGTCTGAAAATCCCAGTGTGAGACGACCAGAGAGCAGGGTGGGGGGCACATAAGGCTTATGGGAGTTTATTTTGGGGGCTACATTTCCCAGAATTCACCAGCCTCCTTGCTTCCGGTCTCTGTGGAAGTTGCAGTGCACTCCTCCTTGTGGCACTGACTCTAGGAGCTGTAGTTTTTAAAAGGAGCTTGTCCTGCTTCTGGTGTGCATTCCCTTCCTGGCCTGCCTTCAGGACCGAGCTAGCAGCAGGGGAGCAACGAGAATCGGAAACCCACCCAGCGTGGCTGAACTTGATGCTTTCCTCCCGTTTGGAAGGAAAACGTGAACAGATTGGCTCTTGTGGGTTAAGACGGGTGGCAAAAGCTTGGCATCTGGTCCTCCTCTCTCTCTCCCTCACATGGACCGAGGGCAAAGCTTCGGCACAGATCTTCCAAAGCTATAGGACAGGGAATGCTAATCCATCTGTGATTTTATTATGGCACGGACAAGATCAACGTATTGCTTTCGAGGCTATGGGTTTCTTATTTATAGTCCCCATGCTGGAAGAAATTTAATTCAAAAATACGAATGTTTCTTACTTAGATTTGCAGAGCATCAGTTCATTAGGTAGACGGTGGTGTTTGGAGAGCGTTATATTTTGTGTCTAGGGCCTCATTGTGGTTTACAGACTGGCACGCAGAGCGAGGCACTGAAATGAAAGGGAACCATACCAGGGTATGGTACGATACCCCTTAAATGAAGTCAAAGTGAGCGCCTCTACCTCATGCGTCTGCCCAGGGTTTGGGGTGCTGGCGAGTGGGTGGGATGGCGGTGGTTAGATGGGAGATCTGGGATTTCCGGTTCTTGACCTCTCCCGACTCCCCTCCCCAGGCCTATTCCGTCTATGATGAAGAGATCGGCTACTGCCAAGGCCAGTCCTTCCTCGCTGCTGTTTTGCTCCTGCACGTAAGTCTCGGGGCCTCCTCAAGACGAGGGAGGATGTTGCATGAGAATATCCGCACGCCTGGGGATGGGGTGTGTGGCCAGCCAGGCCCCCAGAGGTATTGGGGCGCTTTCCCTTGCAAGCGGTCTAGGCCAGTTCTTCCTGATACACAGGGATGATTTATCTTTCTCCCGTGCAGTGTTATTTTTAAATGGGTTCCGCATTATGTCTCCTGCCCCCGGACAAGATCTCTCTGCTGTCAGTTGCTGAATAACATTGTGCAGCGCTTCCGGCTCATTCGTCACCGTTGTCTTTAAAAATAAAATAAGATTATATATTTCCCAACCCTTCATCTTTCTTTGACTGATGGCTGTACCATTACCTGTAGCTAAATATACAGAGAACCACGGATTCTCGGGGGTGGGGGGCAGATATCTTGCTGGGTGGACCAAAAATAATTCCCCCGTGGCATGTCAAGGATGCACAAACAAGTCCCCAACACACATTGGTTCCCCCCCCGCCGTAAAAAAAAAAAAAGACATTCAGCAAAAACTGGGGAACTGGAGAAATTGGGGGAATAATGGATTTAGCCACCATGTGCTTCACCACTGTGGCCAAATCTGTGCAACTGATAATAGATAAAGGAGAAATTTCGTCCACCCGGTGCACACAACTGCTTCTTCAGTTGCCCTGCTCAAATACCGGTGGCTCCTAAATGGCTGAATACAGTATTTGAATTACAATACCTCTTTTACTGGGAGGCAGTGGAAGACAGGAGGGCCTGGCGTGCTCTGGTCCATGGGGTCACGAAGAGTTGGACACAACTCAACAACTAAACAACAACCACCTCTTTTACCTATTGGAGGGCAAGACGACAGGGCTGTGAGTGCCCTTGCTTCAGGGCTGGCTGGACTTTCTAAGCGGCAGCTTTTCTTGGCACCTCTTTAACCTCCTGGAGGGCAAGACGACAGGGCTGACTGGACTTTCTAAGCGGCAGCTTTTCTTGGTTTCCCCAACTTTTTTCCCTGGCCCTTCATGGACATGCATCTTGTACGTTACATGTTTCTGTTACACTATGAAAATCTGGCATCCAGAACTCGTAGGTTCTCTTTCTGGGGGAAAGCAAGCAAAGTCCTGTGGTGTCTTAAAGGGAAGGAATTTTGTGTGCATGTGGATTGGGAGTGGGGTGAGGCTCCTCTGTCTTGTCCTGCTCATCCTCCACGTGGGAGCCTTCAAGGCACCGCCAGACTTTTTGAGAGTGGCTTCCATGAGACACAGGGACCACTTTTGGAGACCAAGAACCGTAGGTCTGCTCTTCAAAATCCTGGGAATTGCAGTTTGGGGAGAAGGTGGCTTGAACTGCAACAGAGAATCTGCAGTGTCTGATGGAACTATAGACATCAGGATGACTCCAGTTTGAAACGTGGCATTTAATAAAATAGTTTCAAGAGAGTGACTGCTGTGTAAGGTAGATACAGCCCTTGTCTCTGTTGGACAACACAGGGTTCAGAAGAGTGATGGACAGACTCCTGTCCTTCCTCCCCCCCCCACCTCCAGGATGTTTCTGGGATGTCCTGAGAGCAGAGCATCTTGTTCTGGTCCTGATGGTGAGGAAGTCGTGAAGGAAGACGGTTCCCGGTGAATGTTTAGCTTTGAAATCATGACAGCAGGTTCTGTTTTTCTCTCTGCTTTTGATAGATGCCCGAGGAGCAGGCTTTTAGTGTTCTGGTCAAAATCATGTTTGACTATGGACTCAGGGAGCTTTTCAAACAAAACTTTGAGGATTTACACTGCAAGTTTTACCAGTTGGAGCGCCTCATGCAGGTAAGGGGTGGCCGGCTCTGTTGCTCTCCTGGAAAGGGGCAGGCACCGGGTGTCCGTCAACAGGCTGAAGGGGGCCCCGTAAGAGCGGCTCACCAAGGCCTCGCTGGAGGGAGACTTCTGTGATGGGGGGGAGGGCTCTTAGCCATGCAACGCCCTCCTTCTAGCGTCTCAGTCAGAAGAAGGCTGCCCCATCCCCCCCCCCCCCCGATGATCCCATCACTTGGTGGGTTGCCTTATGCTTACCCATTAGGCTTAATTAGCAGCAGCAAGAGCTTGAAGTTAAAATCCGCTGCTGTTTTAGTCTGTGGTCTGTTGGCCTTTGGCTGAAACACCAATCCCCCCAAACTTCTGTGGAATTCAATCAAGCCCTTGAAAAAGAGATACCCCTTGCTCGTTTCGTGTTTGTCTTCATTGGCCTTTCATAGAGAAGAGTATTTTGAAGCGTGTTGAATGGTTACTTTTGAAGACAAGCATTTGATGGTGTCCTTCCTTTCTTCCGTCCGTCCAGGAATACATTCCCGACCTGTATAACCACTTCCTGGACATCAGCCTTGAAGCCCACATGTACGCCTCCCAGTGGTTCCTCACGCTTTTCACAGCAAAATTCCCACTTTACATGGTCTTCCACATCATTGATCTGCTCTTGTGTGAGGTACGTGGTTTAGGCGCGCCGAATCGCCCACTCTAGCAAACTCCAGCTGCACACACGGATCTCGCTCGGGGCCTCTCGGTTAAAAACCAGGCACACGAGAGCGTTTGTGTCCCTTGTGAAGGGAAGAAAAATCCCAGGCAGTTTCACAAAGAGGTTCAGTTCTATGGGTGTGGGTTGTTGTGGATTTTATTTTATTTTATTTTATTTGTATACGGAGTCAGAGGTTTCAGCCATTCCCCTCCCCCCCAATATCGGAAGTCACTTACTGCGTGTCTCGGTGACCCAGATGTTAAGTTATTGGCAAAATGGATTTTTTTTTTTGCCCTTTAATCTTTCAATGCGAGGAAGGAAGTGATTCAACCATCCCGAAATGTGTTTGGATGCAAATGAACTGTGTAGCCGCCAGCACAAGACTTGGGTGCCATTTCCAAGAAAAGAACAGTACAAAGGGCAGTGGCGGCTGCCTTGGGGGTTGGACTTGTTTGATGATGACATAATCACTGAGATGGCACCTTGTATTTTTCTGGGGTGGTGGTGGGTCCCCATGGAGAATTCGGGACAGGAGCTCGAAGAAAGCCAGGCCTGTCCGGCAGGACATGCTCTCCTTGGACCGGCTGTCGACGCTGTCAGCTTTGGTCCAACAAAGCAGGGTTGCAGCCCAATGCTGTTAACGCCCCCCCATGTGTCGTCCCCCCCAAATAAACACAAAGGAGTACAGTGGCACAATTCCTCACTCAAACAAGGTGGCCCCCGCACTTTGCTTTTTCAACTCTCCCTTGTTTTTAAAAACTGAAACCGGACGTTCCGTGGGCTGGGCTGGCCACTCATGTTTCTGGGGGGAAAATGGTTTGGGGAGTTACAGCAAAAAAAAAGATGATAGCAGGAGCGGGCTTCAGGGCCCAGAAGAACAGTTTTTTGGGGGGGGTCACTCTATGGGCCAGGAGCTTGTGATTTCGAGAAGCTCACTGCTCCTTCCTGAACCCCTTCACGTTTCCTCTGTAGAAAAGCAGCACCGCCGAAGCCGTCACCATAGGGTTGGGAGTAGCAATGGGGGTATTCGCATTTGTATATGAATACGGATATCCCTGTGCAGCTGGACTTAATGAGGGTCCGGCCCTCGTCCTGATGAGTGGAACCGGCACTGCAGCAGGACATGCAGCAAGTGGACGGTCTAGCCATGCAAGCCGGACCCTTGTTAGGTCCAGCTTCCCGGGGATATACAAATACCCCCATCTTTAGTTGGGAGCCTCCCAACGTGTCTCTTCTCCTCTTAGCACCACCTAGCCCAAGGCACGGGGACGTGGGCTCATCTTTAGATGAACTCCCTTGATTTTCTGTGTCGGAATTTGGTGCGGAGAAATGTTTCTCTCCGGGAGATCCAGAGCGTTTTTCCAAACCTTACGACAAATGAATGGCCCCAGACATGTCTGAAGCACGTCGGTGAGAGAAAGAGAGAGAACAAAACTCCCCCCCTCCCTTTATTTTTCTTTTTTTGCCCGGCAGCTGCACCCTAGGAGGCAGTTTTAATAATTTGTTTACTCACTTGCTAATTAGCAACATTCATTAATTCTCAGCAGACTCTCCCACTTTGCTAGCATGAAATGGCACCGTTCGGCGTTGCCCCTTTCATTGAAAGATCACCATGTTCCTTCCACTTCCCAGCTGGATCCTTTCCTCCCTGGGGAGTCAGTGCGGAGGGAGACTCTGCAGCTTATGGCTGGAAAAAGCCGCTGACGGCTCAGTTCTGAGTTGCTTTCTGACTTAGCTCTCCATGAAAATGGCTACGAATTCTCCTTCCTTTCAACGAGCGATAGAAATTCTGCTATTGACAATAAACCAGCAGGATTTCATTTGATGGATATCCTGCTTTGCTCCCAGAACAGGGACCCTACATAGTTTGCAACGATTATCATCTTTATGGTTTTTTTATTTTATTTTAGAGCATTTCTATCTTGTTGGGGTTTTTTTTTGTTTGTTTGTTTTTTTAGTCTCTGAGTAGTTTACAATAAAAACAAATTCAATCAAAGCACTGGCTGAAAATAGTCCGGCCATAAAATAATAAGAGCAGCAAAATCCATTAAAACCAATTCATTAAAAGCCAAGGGAACGGATGGTTTTAAAATGGATTGTCTAACTGTTAAGATTTAGAAAAACAATCACAACATTTAAAATTTGCAAATACAAACATCGGGAGAGATAAAAATAGTCATCCAGTTAAAATACAAGAAGCTATAATATTCTGCTGGAATAGAACAGCCTTTTCCTGCCACTGGAAGGACCAGAGGGAGGGTGTGAGCCTATTGCCCCATGAAAGGGGGTTCCAGAGTTTGGGATCAACCACCAAGAAGGCCCTGTGTCGTGTCTTCATCAAAATGGCCTCCTGGATAAGAGTCGCTTGCAAAGATCTCAGAGACCTGGCAGGCTCTTTATGGGGGAAGACGGTCCTTCTGAAAGCCTAGACCCCAGTCCTGTAGGGCTATCTAAGCTGCGACCAGCACTTTGAATTGGCCCCTGAAATTGTGGTTCTAGCAAGTCATAGGTATTCATGCAGGCCCCTGCTTTCTCTGTTTTTTTTTCTTCCCCAGGGCATCAGTATTATCTTTAACGTGGCTCTCGGATTGTTAAAAGTGAGTATTCAGCTTTCAGTCTCTCCCAAGCTGCTCTACAAGGTCTGTGTTGCAGAAGGTTCAGACGAGGTTATGGGTCTTTTAAGATCCAAGGGGGTAAAAAAAGGCTTAAAGGAAACGACTGGACGGTTGCCTGAGGAAGGAGGTGTTCTGTGCGGTGGTCTGTTAAGGCTCCCAGACCGTGTTTTTGCAGACCCCCCACAGCCTGCCTCTGTATGGAAAATAGGAATGATCAGGGTCACAGAAGACTTCCGTTTGTGCATCATTGCTTCTACTGTATAAGACTGGAATGGGCGAGAGAACTGATTTCTTACTTGCTGGGAAGAACGGAGGGCAGAGGTGTGGAACTGGAGGCCCTGGGGCCGAATCCGTCTCTCCTGAGCCCTGTCAGGCCCCACTAACGTTTCCCTGATGGCTCAGCCTCCTTCACTGGGCCCCCATCCTTGGTGGCTTCTCAGCTTTGGTGTCCCCCCCCCCTAAAAAAAACCCCCTGGTAATATCAAAGTCTCTTTCCTAAGACTCAGTTCCTGGAAGCAGGAAGAGGTTTAAGTTAAAATACGCCGGTATTTTCAGCCCCACTGTTGGGTTTCCCCTCCATTGGTCAGATGTAGGGGTGCTTCAGGTCTACCAGCTCAATTCTGGATCTCTGATAGGTCTGTGAAGTTGAGTCTGACCCTTCAGGCCGAAGAGGCTCCTAGGTTAAAGGCCCCTGTAGATCCCACCTCTTGTCTTGAAAGGTGATCTGCATCCAACCCGTTTTTTGTTTTGTTTTGGTTTGGCTACCCCTTTGGGGGGGACTCCTGTCCTAAAGTATGATCTGGAAAATCCGCGTGGGTGTGTCTTGTTTCGTACAGCTCAATAGTATTCCTCCTGCTAAAGGAGAAGTGAAGTTGTTGTCTTGTCAGGTTCTTCTAAGCTGCAAGATCTGCTAGCCCAGTGATTTAAAACACCACCACCTTTAAAAAAAATAAAAAATAAAATCATTGCCTGTTTTCTCAGACGACCAAGGATGACCTGCTGCTGACAGACTTTGAAGGCGCCCTCAAGTTCTTCCGTGTGCAGCTGCCCAAGAGGTACCGATCGGAGGAAAACGCCAAGAAGCTGATGGAGCTGGCCTGTAGCATGAAGGTAACTCAACAGGAGGAGCCAGACAGGTGTGAGTGAGTGTGTGCATGCATGTGTACAACGCAGTCGCGCCCGGGTTCAGGTCATAAGTGACCCAGTGCCAGGACAACTAGAGAAGAGCGATCAGTGTGCATGCGAGCTCTGAAAAGGCCTCATAAGTGACCCAGTGCCAGGAAAACTAGAGAAGAGCGATCAGTGTGCATGCGTGCGCAATAACATCTCAGCCTGTTTAGGGCTTGGCCTTAACTTGGGTGTGGTGTGGCTGCCCAGAGGCAAGGGTTCAAGCCCTTTAAAACACGTCCATGGAGCTTTGCGGCATGAAGTCTCTCGTCCTGCTTCTGCCTGCCGAAGGAGCTCAGCAGGCATTTTCCAATGCGTCAAAATAGCTGCCCGTAAGAAGAGGCAGAAGGGATGGTTTGCAGTGGGAACGCACGAAGCAGCGAGTTTTGAGTGTGGCCTCCCCAAGCAGGGAACCCACCTCTCCCTACCCAGGTTGAAAAAGAGGGCTTTTTGGGGGGGGGCAGCTCTCCCCGACTCTGTTGCCACTTGTCTGATGGTGGTGCTTGGTGAAATGCCAAGGGGTTTGGGGACTTTTACTTCCCAGAACGTCAGCATTGTGGCCCAATTCTGTTGTGCTGGGGTCAGAGCAAAGGGCCTAGTGTGCCTTCCTTCTGGCCCAAGAGGGAGCAGGCAGGAGTGTCCTCGGGAGAGGTTCTGCCCCTTGCTCTGGGGTCTGTGCGGGGTGAACCCCTTCCTAACCCTCCCCCAACTGCTGTTTTCCTCTGCTTCAAAACCAGGCACCACAGACCTCCCTAGGGGATGCGCTTCGTTCTGTTCAGCTGCACAGATAATTTGGCGGCCTTTCCGTGGACTGTAAAAACTGCTTAATGAGATCTTAATTTCCTCCCCGGGAGAGCTGGCCGACTCTCCTGGCCGTCCCTCTGGAGCAATTGGTCCCCCTTCCGGCTGTGTTAACGCTGGAAAAACTGCGCCCAAGGGAGTAAACGTGGGTTTCTCCCTACCTACGCCGTCGTCAGTGGCACTTCCGCACAAGCGTCACTAGAGGGAGCCAACGGGCAACCTAGTAGAAGTTGTCAAAAAAAGAAGTCCCCCTTTTTTTGGGATCATCTGTCCCAGAATCCCCCAACCAGCCGGGCCACTGGCTCATTTCTAACCGACATGCTGTTGATTGGTTTTAGATCAGCCAAAAGAAGCTAAAGAAGTATGAACGGGAATACCACACCATGAGAGAGCAGCAGGCTCAGCAGGAGGACCCCATTGAAAGGTTTGAGGTAAGGGCGCTTCCTGCTTACCTTGAGGATCCCTATGGTGGCTGCCGAAGTGCTGGAGAAGAACATCAGAGGCCATGCGAGCCGTGCGAGCTTCCGTGTTTTCCAGGAAGCCTTGCTGAAGGGGAAGGATGGGGGCTCCCAGTTTAATCCCTGCCTCTTCTTTGTCGTCAGTGGCGCTTCCGCACAAGCATCATTAGAGGGAGCCAACGGGCAACCTAGTGGAAGCTGTCAAAAAAAGAAGTCCCCCGTTTTTTTTGTATCATCTGTCCCAGAATCCCCCAACCAGCCGGGCCACTGGCTCATTTCTAACCGACATGCTGTTGATTGGTTTTAGATCAGCCAAAAGAAGCTAAAGAAGTATGAACGGGAATACCACACCATGAGAGAGCAGCAGGCTCAGCAGGAGGACCCCATTGAAAGGTTTGAGGTAAGGGCGCTTCCTGCTTACCTTGAGGATCCCTATGGTGGCTGCCGAAGTGCTGGAGAAGAACATCAGAGGCCATGCGAGCCGTGCGAGCTTCCGTGTTTTCCAGGAAGCCTTACTGAAGGGGAAGGATGGGGGCTCCCAGTTTAATCCCTGCCTCTTCTTCCCTCCCCCCCCCTTCCTGCCTCTCGATCCCAGCGAGAGAACCGGCGCTTGCAGGAGGCGAACATGAGGCTGGAGCAAGAGAATGACGACCTGGCCCACGAACTGGTGACGAGCAAGATCGCCCTGAGGAAGGACTTGGACAACGTAAGAGCCCAGGCGTCTCCTCTCCCATGTCCTGCCGACGGCTGCCCACAGGACTTCCAACTTCTGGGGATCTGGGATAGGGTTAGAGCTGGGGGAAGAGACCCTCAGGGTTTGGTGCCTTCAGTGGCATCTAAATGCCTGAGCAGAAGTCCAGATGTGTTCCACAAGCTATGCATGATGCTGAGGGTTTTTTTGGGGGGGGGGGAAGGACTTTGCTCTCTGAACTGTCAAAAGGCACCATGTGTTTGTTTGACTGTGATCCCTTTTCTGAGACAGCCCTGTGGATTCATGGCTTTTCTTTCTCACTCCACTGTGTCCTCCAATAGATCCATTTCTCAGGCACTTGGGGGGGGGGGCAAACTGGAACCCCAGGCCCCTCCACACCCTCTTCCTCCTCCTCTGCTTGCTCACTCGCTCGCTCAGCCCATCCCACGGTCCCTGAGAAGGCGCATGCCTGAGGATCACTGCCCTCTTGGAAGCTGGGTCTCCAAAGGTCTCTGATGTCCGGCTTTTGTGTGGCTTTGGGTTTTCCAGGCGGAGGAAAAGGCCGACGCCCTGAACAAGGAGCTGCTCATGACCAAGCAGAAGCTGATCGATGCTGAGGACGAGAAGCGGCGCCTAGAAGAGGAATCGGCACAGGTCTGAGCACCGCTGGGGCCGGGTGACGTTCCCCCTGGTTCGCCAGGAGGCTAGGAGAGGAGGGGACATTGCTTTTGGGGCGAGCAGGGAAGGGATACGACCAGACGTGGAATCTGTCCCCCATCCCTGTGGCTTCTGGTACACCTTGACCGATGGGGAGCCCCTTTTGCTCCCGGTGGCCTGCTTTATCCGGAGAAATGTCACCCTTCTGCGTTCTTCCTGTCAGCACGGCCTCTTAAGCGAGGGGGTAACAGAGCGAAACCCAGTCCTCCACGTGGATGACCATTATTCCCCCCCCCTTCCCAGCTTTTTCTGGGGGACCCCATGGGCTGGGAAGTATCTCTGCCAACGCCTCGCCTTCCTCTCCCTTGCAGCTGAAGGAGATGTGTCGTCGGGAGCTGGACAAGGCCGAGTCGGAGATTAAGAAGAACAGCTCCATCATTGGGGACTACAAGCAGGTGGGCAGTGCCAGGCCCTTGAGGAGAGAGGCTGCGGCTCAGGGACAGAAGATGCTGGGGGGCCATGGCTGCCTGTTTGCAATGGGCCAGATGAAGTCTGTCCGTGGGCATTAGTCGAAATGGGGAAGTGGGGCCTCCAGCATCAGAGGTAGTCTATCATGAATGTTAGCTGCTTGGGAAGCAGAACGATGGGCTCAGCTAGCCGGCTCCAGTCCGGAACCCTCAGGTTGGGTTGCGCTGCAGATCCTTCATCCCCATCCAGCATGGCCTCGGCATCCCGGGGACGATGGGAGTTGTGATGGATCTCAAACCTGACCCCTAAAGAGGGCCATGCCGATGTTTGTTCTTTCTTGGTAGATCTGCTCCCAGCTGAGCGAGAGGCTGGAGAAACAGCAGCTGGCCAACAAAGCCGAAGTTGAAAAGATCCGGGTGAGTGTTCGGAGGGGGGGGTCTCCCCTCATTTCCAGTGGATGACCTTGATCATTCGCCAAGCTGTTTAATTGACCCAAGAAAGTTGCTTGAGAGGGATCCCAGGGCCCTCCCACCATATCTTTCCAGCTTTCCTTTTTTCCTGGGTTTCTCCCTTTGATCGGAAAGGACCGCTCTGCCTCCCTTGGGGCTCAGTGACCTCATGTCGGTCAAGAGTGAGTTCCTTCAGATGCGTTTGGATTGCCTTTCCCAGCATTCCTCACATTTCACCCTGCCGCCTGGGGGGTTCTGGGAGTCATAGTCCAAAAACATCTGGAGGAATGACGCACCTCAGTGGTAAGGATTAACCCTGCAGCTTTTTCCCTTCCTTGTTTGCTTCTCCTGGCACAAAAAAGGGCCAGTGCGTGAAGTGGGTGCTCCTTATTCCCCCTCCCTGGGGTTTCCCAATTCTCTTCCACATTACCCTCTGACTTGCTGCCACCCACCACCCCCTCCAAAGCATACGAGAAGTGGAAGCAGAACAGCTCCCACACGTAATGCCCGTTGGCGTGCAAGGAGGCCGAGCTGCCCTTTGGGAATGGCAAAAGACCGTGGGGGTGGGGGTGGAGGTAACAAAGCATGCCGCGCTCACGGCCTCCCCTTCTGGTCCTTCAGCAAAAAGTTGATGACTGTGAACGTTGCCGGGAGTTTTTCAACAAGGAAGGGCGGGTGAAGGCGGCCACCGTCGCCCGAGAAGGCTCCGATGAGGAGGCGGACGAGGAGAAGGAGGCGCTGAAGAACCAGCTGCGGGAAATGGAGCTGGAACTGGCCCAGACTAAGCTGCAGCTGGTGGAGGCCGAGTGCAAAATCCAGGTCAGGAGGCCGGCCGGCCGGCCCACCTCGGGGTTGGGTGGGACCATAGGCCAAGCCACTGTGGTTCCGTTCCAGGGGGATTTCGAAGGGGAGCTGGGCCTCTAAAAGGAAACCACTGTTCTTTAAGCAAAGCAAAAAGCAAAGAGCTTGGCTTTGGTTCAAAAGGGGTGGGGGAGAAAGGAAGATGGTGGAAGGTGGCTTGGCACTCATCTTTGGAGGTTGGCGCTGCAGAGCTGGAGAAAAGGACCGACCGGTTGCCCCGTGGCATAATTAGTGCAGGAATTTAGATTCTGAAGCTTACTTTCAGAAGGAGAGGCTAAGCAGCAGGAATTTGGGGGGGGCAGAAGGAGTGGCAAGAGACCAAGGAGGGTGAAATCCGCAGGTGCTGTTCTATCCGTCCTGCCCCAACCCCTCTGGTTGCGTCTGACCCCGAATAGGTGCACAGCGGCTTTCTCGTACAATTTGAATTTTTGTGCGGGGAGGATGGGTGTAAGGTCGGTTATTTCTCTGCTCTGGATGAAACAAAATATACTGGAGGGGACAGATCTATAGCAACTGTACGGACAGGTCTGCAACATGCGGTTTGTCTCTCTCTCTCTCACTTGAGGGGGTTAGAACTGCTGTGCCTGGGCCAGAATTGGCACCAAAACCAGATTTGGGGCCGAGGGCCAGAGTTCCACTCTGCAGGGAGGGCACGACTTAACCTGCCTTAAAGTGAGGCACCCCCATAAGACCATTTGGTCTTGAAAAATCTCCCACCGGCCCGCCGTATTCAGCTCCGTTGGTTTCTCTTTGGCAATCAAGAGACCCAACGTCCTCCTTTCCGCCCTCTTCGCGCCAGGATTGTGCCTGATCCCGTCTCATTCTGTTGTTTTTTTAAGGATCTCGAGCACGACTTGGGGCAAGCGCTGAACGAGGTGCAGGCTTCCCGAAAGACCTGGTTCAACCGAACGCTGAGCTCGATCAAGACCGTGACGGGCGTCCAAGGGAAAGAGACCTGCTGAAGGGCCAGCGACCCTCCCTCCGCCCGAGGCGGCTCCCGTCGGGGAGATGCCTGCCTCCTGTCGTTGGAGAGGGGGGGAACCTTCTGCCTTCCAGCACCTGCCTTGACCCAATGCCGCAGGGGAGGGAGCGGACCAGCATGTACATAAAACTCCAGAAAACACAGCACAGGTCAGAGGGGAGGGGCTTTCCCACAGGTCAGTGACCCAGGCCGGATCCGAGACGCGGTCTCTCTTCATACTACTGATTATTTAACCATGGGGGTGTAGCTGTAGGCTGAAGGCTCTTTACTTTTTTTTTTTCTTTTGGAGCGAGAAAGACCAAACACTCCATTCTACAGTCTGGCTGTTTTGCAAACCCTAGGTACGAGAGAAGAGCTGACCCAAACCTCTCTTAACTTATTAAGTTTACATACGAGAGCTTTCTCCCCCCCCTCCCCTTTCTTTCCGTTACAACTTTTCAAACATTTTATTTGAAAGGAGCGAAATAAATGAATGAAACTTCTTCGCAAGGAGTTGCTTTCCGTGTCAGAGACCAGTCTCTTCCTTATCCCGTCACCTTTTTGAAGCAGGTCCCCACAACCCGCCGGAACCCAGTGTGTGTGTGCGTGTCTAGCTGTCTTCGCTTAATCCTTTGTTTCCCTCGTTCATCAATTCTATGCAAATCTGAGGGAAAAGCGTCTCTACCCATTTTTTTTTAAAACTGCTTGTCACCCCACGACTCTTTCAGAGTAACTGGATTTCCCCAGTGCAGAAGCACGGCAGACGCACGTCTGAGTCCAAACTAAAACTTGGAAAAGTTATTATTTCTCTAACTACAACAAACTCCCCCCAATCCCTCCTGTGTTCTGGGTGTTATAGTCCAAAGAAGAAGGAAAAAAGAACTTTTGTCAGCTGTGGTTCAGATGGGACTATAACCATACCCAAGCCCGTTCCTGTTGAAATCAGTGTAAGCGCCATCCCCCTCATCCATTCAGTTTCAGGGGAATCCTCCGGGTCTAGGCCGGTCTCTCTGTCCCAGAAACCGTAGCTTTGTACTCTGACTTACAGGAAGCACAAGAACCTTGTATTTTTAACCGGTGTCCGTTTTTTATTTTTTGCTTTGGTCTGTGCGCATATACGTTTCTCTGCTGCCAAGGTGCTTTTCCAGTTTTGCACAGAGACGGGAGTAGGATGCAGACTGAGATTACAAAGGAGAGGAACCGTCATTTGACGGATGCTGCTTGATCTCTATCCCGGGCTCTTCCAGGGTACTACTAGCCCTCCGGACAGCTGCCTGGGTCGTTTCCCTTCTCTTCTCCCCCACCCCCACCCCTTTTAGGAGTCCTTTCTTCCGGCCCTTCCCCTCAATGCTTCTTATAACTACATCAGTAGGTACTAATGCTGCTTGGATTTCTGAGCGCTTAGATTATCCCCGACTTCTCACCAGAAAAAGCTGTAGAATGGAGGTTTTGCACCTTTTGTGTTATTATATGTTCTTTTCTTTTTAATTTATACTGGTTTGCGCTGAGCTGAAATAGCTATCGTATCGGCGGATAAACTTCTATTGGGCGCAGCCTGTGAGTATAATAAGCTGGTTACCCACAAGAGACACTGGTCTGTATATAAAGATAATTTGTATTTCTACGTTATTTTTCTCGTCGACCAGACTAATGCAGCAACTGAGATGGTAAAAGGTGAGGCCTGAGCGTTCATGATTTCTCTTCTCCCCTCCCCCCAAAAAACTGTGTACATGATTATCCTTATTGTTTAATAATACTACCAAAAAAAAGGAAAAAAAGAATTTACTGTAACTCCATCAATAATAGACGTGTGGACATTGTAGTAGAATAGTAGTTGCAGTGTGTAGATCTTTGGACTGATACATAAACTAGTAAATTGTATTACTATTTTTGGTTTGTCGTTATTTCACTTTTTTGTGGCCATTCAATGTGCTCAATAGTTGAGTGTTGAAAACAATCATTTGCATCTCTCTATAGGGAAAGTATGGAAGTGAAGTCTCAATAGCCCCTCACCGCGATAACGCTTTTACCCTTCTTCCTTATTTTCACATGAGAAACCTTGGTGGATAGGGCCCGGTATGTCTCTAAACTAGCCTCAGGCTCTTGGTAGCTCTTCCTGCCTTAACACTCTTGTGATTTTTAGTTTATTCTTCTCCTAACCCCTGAGGAACATGCGTGGCATCCGTGGCTTGACGGATGGTTTCTAGCACTGCTCAGCCTTTACAGGTTCCCCTTGACAATTTTTGTCCAGTCGTGTCCAACTCTAAGGGGCGGTGCTCATCCCCGTTTCCAAGCCATAGAGCCAGAGTTTGTCCAAAGACAATCTTTCCGTGGTCACATGGCCAGTGCGACTTAGACACGGAATGCTGCTTACCTTCCCACCGAGATGGTCCCTATTTATCTACTTGCATTTGCATGCTTTCGAACCGCTAGGTTGGCGGGAGCTGGGACAAGCGACTGCCTTAACACTCTTGTGATTTCTAGTTTATTCTTCTCCTAACCCCTGAGGAACAGAGGTTGACGGATGGTTTCTAGCACTGCTCAGCCTTTACAAAACATTTGACACTTCTCCTCTCTCCTCACAACAGCCCTGCAGTGGAGGTTTTGCCAAAGAGCTGGCGATTTTGCTGGTGGCCGGCGAGGGTGTTCTGTGGCTAAGTGCACCTCGGATCTGGGTTCTGTTGCTGATTTACGCCTGGCGTCCTGCTCGTTACTTTAAATAGGAGAGAACCGCCATTCAGGAAGGGACTTAGCACCTTCACCTCTTGAGTAAGGATTCCTGGGTGGGGAGGAACAACAGGTTTTCTGGGATCGAAGCGCTGCCGTGCATACTTGCTACCATGAGGATTTGCTGATTGGTAGCCAAAGCCACGGCAGATTCGTCCGCACTGGCAAACAGAAGGAAGGTGTGTCACCACGTCGCCTTTACAAAACATTTGACAGTTCTCCTCGCTCCTCACAACAGCCCTGCAGCGGAGGTTTTGCCAAAGAGCTGGCGATTTTGCTGGTGGCCGGCGAGGGTGTTCTGTGGCTAAGTGCACCTCGGATCTGGGTTCTGTTGCTGATTTACGCCTGGCGTCCTGCTCGTTACTTTAAATAGGAGAGAACCGCCATTCAGGAAGGGACTTAGCACCTTCACCTCTTGAGTAAGGATTCCTGGGTGGGGAGGAACAACAGGTTTTCTGGGATCGAAGCGCTGCCGTGCATACTTGCTACCATGAGGATTTGCTGATTGGTAGCCAAAGCCACAGCAGATTCGTCCGCACTGGCAAACAGAAGGAAGGTGTGTCGCATCGAATCCATTGATTGACCTCTCTCCTTAGGCAGTGCCTTCCTCAAACGCTGGCTGGACTGCAGCTCCCATCAGGCCTAGCCAGAATTCCCAGTACTAAGGGCTTATGGGAGTTATGATCCACCAACATCTGAATTGTAGAATGGAAGGGATCCCAAGGAATATCTCATTCTAGGTGGTGGTTTACCAGTTTCAGGTGGAGTCTTTTCCCATTGAAAACCTAAGCCAAGGCAAGCCAAGCATAGCCCATCCATCGGTTCCAACATCAGCCCTTGTTTGAAGCAACCCGTGCCATGTTTGAAGCTTTCGGTTCTGTGAAGAACAGCCTATCCTGTTTGTGGGGTGGGGGGAGAGAGAGAGACTATCATCTCCTTTAAATACCAGAACTCCTGTACTAGCAAGTCTCTTGCTAAACTCTGTCTGTTTCTTCTACTCCCCAGCCTCCATTTCTGGAGCTGGCAAATCTAAGAATAGCACGAGAGGCCGACACAGGGCAGGGAGATGCTACTTGCTGCATGTGGGGAAGACGTGGCCTGCGCTTGACCCAAAGTATTTCACGGGGGTGGCGACTGCTGTCAGAAAATGGCAGGTTCACAAGGCTGGGAGCACCCCTTGAGATCCTTTAACTGTGTGTGAAAGAGAAAGGAAAGCGACATCCTGTCTCAAGGCTCAGTATTTTCTGTGCACCAGGGATTATGGGATGTGCCTCTCTGCTTTCTGCCTCTCCTTCCTTTTTGATGTAGAGAGGAATTTGTGAATTTAACTTCAACCAGGTCCCCTTCCAGATATTAAATCCATGAAAGCCTAAGCATGCTGCAGCCAACATAAGAGAGAGCATGCGGCAGAGACACTGCTCCTCTTAGATGCTGGGGTTCCCTACTCCCTTCAACCCCGGGCAGGAATAATGGGACGTGTAGTCCTTCATGAACCCACAAGGAGAGTCATCTTACAGGTATTGAGAGCCTCCATCCTTTTCTGGCATCCACTTATAACCTCATTCTCCATACTGTTGGCAAATCTTCTGGGTTAGAGACTCTGTTAACTCTCTGATGGTTCTCCATATGCAGAGTTTTAAAAAGGAAAGCCAATGCAGGGGTAGACTCTCAGATTTCCATGATATTAAAAGCAAGTTGATTAAAAGTTTTCTTCTGATAGCAACCTATTCACATAAAATTTAAAGTGCTCCTTCCACCTCCACCACCCAGGGCATCCTTGCAATGAATTTGCCATATTTATAATACACACTCTGTAGAATATTTAAGCTTTTAAAAATTCAATTAATTGATTTTAAAAGAAAACAAAAACCTGGAGCATCATCAGTTGAGAATGCCACTTAAATTATTGATAGGAAAGCATTCATTTCTTAGAAGGCATGCTCCCCTGTTCTCTTTTCTCCTGTCCCTGGACGTACTCTTGTTAGATCTTTAGTAGGAGCGCTTTGAGATGTTTTCATGTGGCAAGCTGGGTGGGCTTCTGCTCATCTCTGTACCTTTTCGTACTGAAATCTAGAGGAGCTTTCTTTACACCACCCCAAACACAGGAGAACGTTGTTGCTTCTGTTCTGTGCCATCAACTCGCAACTGATTTACAGCAACCCCCTAAGAGGGCTTTTCAATGTAAGTGAAGTATTCAAAGAGTGGTTTTGCCAGTTCCATGTCCCCAGAGAGTTTCCGTGACTGAGCGGGGATTCGAACCCCTGTCTCCTGAGTTTTAGTCCATTGCCCTACCTGCTACACCACACTGGGTTACCCACAGGAGAATGTGGGGGTCTCTCAAACCCTTTATCAGGACAAAAGCAATGATGTTCATTTTGGCACTCACTAGCTGATCTGGACTATAGTTCCCATAATCCTTGACCACATTTGCCTGGGGCGGGTGGGCAATTGTAGTCCAAGAAGTAGCAGGACACCCATCCCTCTGTCTGGTCCAGATAGTTTTCCCCATCCTGTGGACAGAATACGAGAGGTGACCTCCCGAAAGAGAAGACACAAAACTGCAGAAAATTTCAAAGGGAAGTGAATTTATTAATAACAATCCACACCAACTGGGTTCACTGCCACAGCTTGGGGGGGAAAAAAAGGACTTCAGCTTGGGGGTTTTGCCATGGTGACAACAGGTAATCAGACCTACAGCCCCGCCTCACCGAAAGCGGGATATTGCTTGTGCGACATGTCCTCTGGCGAACTCCCATGGTTGGCAATGGCATTAAACACAACCCATAAAAATACTTTTGCCCCCACATAAGGGTGATCGCTTGAAGGGGGAAAAGGGGCGACTTCTTTGGTCTTTAACCAAAATATATAAATATGTTTTTAAAAAAGAAAACGCTTGGCATTTTAAGGAAGAATAAGCCTCTTTAGAATCAAATGATTCTTTTCTCCGACTCTGCCTATTTACATCTCATCTTTTAGTCCAAAAAAAATGTGGGAGCAGGGGAGGAAGCACAGCAAAGGTGGATTAAAGTGCAGTAAAGACAGCAGCAGGGTGTGTGTGTGTTTTTTTAAAAAAGGCAGCAAGAGAAATATTATCCAGACTGAAAATAGAAGCGCTTACCTCTTCCAGCCACTACATTTCAGCCCCCAACCAGGGATCGAGAGCCAAGGCA